TGGGCTGCTCCTAGCCTTGGTTATTGCCTTCACCTGCAGAGACAGCATTCTGACAGTTCCTCAAATTGCCCTCTTGGGTCACCTCCCAGTGGCAAATCTCAAGCACACTGGTGGGTATGTGGCCAAGCCTGACTTGGCCCACCTCCTGTCCCAGCAGCCTTGCTTGACCAGCCCCTACCCATCCCGGCTCTTACTATTGGGTGTTAGAACCCAGCTACAAATGATCCACACCCCCCCCCCCCCCGCCCAGTCCCAGCTCTTATGTGATTCACTGGATATAGAGACCTAGCCCAGCCTATCCTACACCTTCCCTGGGTCTTATGAACACCAGTGGGTGCTGGAGCCTAGCCCGGTCTGGCAACCCCAGACCTAGTCCACACCCATGCCAAGAGATGCTACAGACATGTCCAGCCCAGTTTGCCACTCATCTCTGCTCTAACACTCATTTGTGGGAACCACAGCTCAGCAGGGGTGTCCTTGTCCTCTTAGCTCCCCCACCAGCCTTGTTCCCAGCCACAGATCTCGTGCATGCCAGTGGCTGCTTTGGCCCAACCCAACATCACCCAGCTTGGCCTTTGCCATTAGATACTTCAGCCTGGCCTGGCCTGGCCCCAGTCCCAACTGTTGCTGGTGGGTGTTGCAGCCTTTCCCTACCCAGCCTGCCCCCATTCCTGTCTTTCATGCAAACCTGTACATGTGATAGCCTAGCCTAGCCCAGCATGACCCACACCCCATCTTGGCTCCCACACATGCCAGTTTGCTATTGTTTGGCCTGGTTCTGCCCAGTCAGTCCTTACAGAGCCAAGCCACATACCTGCCAACAAGTGAAACAGCCCTGTTCAGCTGGACCAACACGCAGCCCTGACTCATATGCTCACCAGCGGGAATTATGGCCCACCAGGAAAGTTCCCCAAGTTCCCCCACCAGTCTCATTCCCAGATTCAGGTCTCATGCAAGCAGGCAGGTGCTAGGCCCTTACCTGGCTCTCTGCTCCTTAGTGTCAACCTTTGTGTGTGTTGGTGGATGTTGCAGTCTGGCCCACCCTCTACCCAATTCTTGAGTGTGCCTGTTGGTGCTACAGCCTGGACCAGCCAGGCATGTTCCCAACTCCAGTACCCAAGAGCGTTGTTGAGTTTTATGGTCATGTCTAGTTCAGCCCATCAACATGCCATCCCTCAAGCAAATCAGCTGGTCCCACAGGGGTGAGCTCACAAATCTCCCAGAAAATCTGCTCCCAGACTCAGTTCCCGTGAGCTTGTTAATCTCATGGCCCAGCCTAGCATGGTCTATCCACTTCCCCAGAACTCACAAGGTAGGTGTTGTGGTCAAGCCCTGCCAGGCAGGCATCCTAACCATGGTTTTTGTGTGTGCCAGAAAGCAATGGTTAATACCAACAATCCCAGCTCAGGTCTCCCAGCTGGGTGGGTGTATTGGCTTGGCCCCAAAACATCCTCTGGTTTCCAGCATTTAAAGCATCATGTCTTGGCCCTCTCATTCACCTGCAGCTGCAGTAGCCAGGCTGGTGGAAGTTCCCCAGAAGTCACTCCATACCTGTCACATTCTCCTTCAGTAGTTCTCTTTGCCACAAATCTCCAGACCCACTCTCCTGAGCAATCCACAGGCTTCCGCTGTCCCACCCTGCCCTGTTCTCTGGCAGTGTGCCATACCAGCCTGTGACCCTGCCTGCCTACCCGGGATCCACTCACACTTGTGTACAGGCCTCCAGACCCTGTCTGTTGGCATGCTGGCATCTGCCACCATATATCTTTTAAAAAAAATAGAATAGGTGACTATGCTGGCACACTGGCATAGTTAATACAAATATGACATGAATCAGGGCCAGAGGCCTGCCAGCTATTAGCTGCTTTTCTCCCAGCACTGTAACACTTGCTTCGGTACAGTGCAACCTAGGCCATTGCCTGCAGCTGGGGTTCTTTTTAATTTTTTTTTTCATAAACTTCTCACTCACTGGATTCTCTCATGTAGTAATGTGGCCTTTCTTATACATCTCCATCATGTCTGGAATCACATTGTTGTTTATGTATTGAGAGCATTGCTTCTTATAATCATTGTCTTCAGTTAGGAAATGCATGTAATACGTGATGTTCGGCTTTTTAGACATCCTTCAATGAACTGCTTACTTTCCAGATTATAAACCAGGGAATTGTGTGGCGCTGTTTAATGTAACAGCTTTAGGATAGAGAGAGGCACATAAGAGTTAGTGCTTTCTTAGCATGACAATACTTTTCTGACTTCAGGAATTAGTGAATTTTTATAGACCATCCAGGTTGGTCCAGTGGTAACAATTTTAAACTTCAGAATAAAATTTTCTTTAATATTAGATCTTTTAAAATAGCTAAATGAAATAGAATAAATTGCTAGTGCTCCTTTATTTAGTTTTGTCATTTTAAGAGTGAGACTGATAGTACTTATTATGTATTCTTTTATCTCTCTCTGAAACAGTATACTAAACTATTTTAGTAGTATTTCCAAGGCAGGAAGGCCCTGCAGTTGTCTGTAAGGAATCCATCTGCTTTAACCACCTCACATGCTGCATGCGCATTGGACGTTGTATGATTTTGATGACAGGTGTCCTTTGGCAAGTCTCTGCTTGTATCAGAGTGATGAAGAGGAGTGGTTTTTCTCTCCAGTCTCTGTGTTGCAGATTTTATTTCACAGTATCTTAAAGAGTATTAGGCATTTCTGCTTTTTAAAATCAGACATTCGCCAAAATCTGTGTTAAACATACCCATTATAATGAGACTGAAACTACATTTATTCAGTTTTCTCTTCAGCAGTAATACCACACTGGTGCATGGTTGTTTGTCAGTGCCCTTGTGGGATTGCTGCTTGCACTCACTGTGAATTCCAACCTAGAAAGGCGAAGTTCTGTGAAATGGCATGGCACTTGTATATAACCTGTGTCTGTCTACCCAATGTATTTGATATCATCTTTAGATTACATGCACTTAGTCCAATGAAAATGCTTTGTCAGTATTGTTATACTGTTTGGAGTGGGTGGCATAAAGATACAGTCTGTATATATTTAGCATGGATGCTATTTTGTTTTGATTGTTTTTTTCCCCATGGTTGTATGAATTGTAGATGTAGAACTCACACATGCATATAGCTCTTTAAAAATCACTCTGAGTATTTTTTATTTTTATGATTCGTTTCATTTGTTTGAAAGGTAGAGAGAGAGAGAAAGGGAAACACAGAGAGGTCTTCATCTACTGGTTCACTCCCAGTTTGGCCTCAGTGACTGGGGTTGGGCCAGCCAAAGTCAGGAACTTTTCCTGGTGCTGGCCCTAAGCACTTGGATCTTATTCTGCTACTTTCTCAGCACATTAACAATGGAACTTGACTGGGGAGCAGCCCAGATCTTGAACCAGCACCCATATAGGATGCCAGCACCTCAGACAGCAGCTTAAACCACTGTGCTGCAGTGCTGGCCCCATGCTCCAGATATTTGTTTAATTGTCTAGCATTTTAATGAATCCTGTACATGGATCTAAGCTTAGTCTTCATAACTGTGGTAAGCGATTTTATTCTACTCATTTTACATAAGAGAAACTTACAAATATCACAACTTAGGTCACTTTTGTTTATCAGACTGGAGTTTCAATGCTTAATTCTGTTGATCCATTACTGCTCTTAAGTATGGAGGTCTTAACTTGGACATTTTCAAATAAAACAAGAAATACAAGTTTATATCATGGAAAGCATGATAAAACTTGTGTGACCCAGAGCCTTGAAGACCAAGATAGTGTTGGCACTTGGCACAGCAGTTCAGGCACTGCTTGGTAAGACACTGCTTGGGATGCCAAGATTGCACCTTGTCCAAATTCCTTTTCAGTCCTCACTTGGAAGGCGCCAGAAATGCTTCAGCTGGCTTGGTTTCTGCCACTTATATGGAGACCTAGACTGAGTTCCCAGCTCCTGGGCCTTGTTGAGTGAACTAACCACCAACCAATTAACCAACTTTCTGTCTCTCTCTCTCTCTCTCTCTCTCTTTCCCTCTTTCCTCCTGCTCCTCTCCCCTCCCCCTCTCCCTCCCTCCACTTTTTCTCTCCTTTTTTCCCCCTCTCTTCCTCTAAAATAAATGCATAAAAGCTAAGTTTTTAAAACACCTTTAAAGAATCCAAGGTAGTTCCTAGTGCCATTTCGTTCATTTTTTTTCTCTGCAAATTGATTGGCTCCATTTCCCACCCCCGCCCCCACTGGCCCATTATGACCGCCAATGAAACGATGCCTTCAACACTAGTGTTTTTGTCACCCTAAAAATACAGAGCATCAGCCATGACCCAACTTATTATGATCTCAGCTGTTGTTTCTTGTGAAAAACAATCCTATTATCTTGGTACAGGTTAGTAAATTAGAGATGTAGAACAGGTTGTTTTAATGGCATTAAAAAGCCACAATTAGGTACTCTTCAATTATAAGTAGTAACTTAGAAGGCAAGAGACTATATAAATATGATAGAATAATTAAGAGAATAGTATTTTTATATGTTAAAATACCATATTATTAAATATTTGGTAGAATACAATATTGAGAAAATATACTGTTGAATATCTGATGGCTTCATCTTGAAAGAGCCCTGCTCTTCATTATTTTTCCAACATTGGGCAATATAATTAAACATTATAGTCCTTTTATTTTCTATGAAATGGCAGTAATTGATACTTTCCTAATAGAACTTCCATCACGTTAGATGATTATCTGTGTCTGTTTGAAGAGATATGGATGCCTTTGCTGGAGCAATACCTGTTAAATAATGAGCATTGAATAAGTGTTTTTACTGTAACTGTTGTGTTGTCATGATTGTTAGGATCGGTAGCAGAAGACATCTCATTAAATATATTTTACATGCATTTAAGCATAGTGTGACTGTAAAATACCAAAAATAAGTGTTACTGTCTGAGAATAGTTACCTTCTTTTTATCATTTTATTGAGATTAAATTTAAGAATATTTGACTTAGTGTTTTTTCTTCCACAGTTTATCAGAGAAGATATGAAATACAAGGATGCTACAAATAAACACAGCCATCTGCATAGAGAGGACAAGCACATAACTGTGGAAGATTTATGGAAACAGTGGAAAACATCAGAAGGTACGACTGTACATGTTCTGCTTTAGCTGCTGTTAACTTTAATTGCTATAATTTTACCTTTAAGTTTTGGTAAATATTTTTTTGTTTGCTTATTTTGATAGATCTGTCTTATTTTCCTTAGAATCTTTAGTAATCAGACTGTTTCAGATATTTTGCTACACTGGAGACATGAGATGTCTGAGAGAATGGTTGTGCAGCATGATTTCAGCTTTTTAAATGGCATCTTTATAAAAGATTTAATAAAACAGCTGTGTGGAAACCCTGTTTTCTTTTCAGTTCTGGAGAACAGCTTCTAACATCTTTAGAAGGCCAGAACTTTTAACCTTTTCCTTAAGTAAATCCCTTTTCAAGTCCTTTGCTATCATAGCCTACTTTTATGTGTTATATCATTCTGACACCCCTAGCTGAACACCATGGAATGTACTGCACATTGTGTGTGCTCTGCTTTTTAATGTACATACATATGCATTATTTAATTTACAAATTAGGCATATTAGGAGATTAATGACGATAATTAATAAGAAAGTAAAATTGTAGCAGAAGTTATGTGGATATGGCCACTCTGCTCTCAGCTACCATGGGATGGGAAGTATATACAGTGTGGATGTGTAGGGCAAAGGATGATTCATGTCCTGAGCAGGATGGGGAAAGGTCTTCGCAGACAACTCAATGACAACGTAAAACTTAGCAAGTTTTTGCTTTGGGAATTTTCCATTAATATTATCAGATTATGATTGATTGTAGGTCAGACCATGATCTGATCATGGGTAAATGAAACCAGGAATGTGAAGCTGCAGATAATGGGATCTGCTCTAATTATATAATAAAACTATGTTTTGCTCCTTTTTCTACCTTTAAGTTCTTAAGTTACCCGTGGAAAGTAGGCTTAGGAAAGGAAAACTATCATCAGATGCCTTAACTTGGGATCACAGGCAACCATAAAGTCTTTTTCTAAAGTTTCTGTTCTTTTATATAAGTCAAGTAGTTATGTTGTAGTATGTATTTTTTCTCTGAAAAATCTGCATTCTGAAATAAAAGAAAGCTGGAGCAGATTACCAAGTAAGCATGTAATGAAATAATAAATTTACTGGGCTGTTAGTGGTAACATCTGAAAAAGCAAACATGTTGAAAACTATCAATGTTCAGTATTTCCTTAATTTGGAAGACAGTTCTAGCTTGTTTCCAGGTTTTTCTAAAGGGGCATCTGCTGAGATACAAGGAAAATAAAATAGGGTGAAGAAGAAAAAGATTGGAATTGAAAGTATAGACCTAAAAATTCTTCTTATTTCCCTTCCTAACACCATATAAAAATAACATCAACTTTGATAGGAATAGAAATAAGAGTCTAAACTTCACAAGGAAGAGATGCAATGATGCATTATGAGAAATATCTCAGCAATGTGTTGCTGTCGCTACAGAGATTCCGTTAGAGAGTCTATTGCTACAAGAGTGTATGTGTGTTTAAGATTGGGGTATATGGTACTGTGAGTGGAACTCACTTGACCGTGTGTGAAGAAAGATGTATTTGACTACTAAATTCTAATTTTGCTCCCCATGGTTCAGGTACCAGCATCTCTTGCTGAGTAACTGAAATAGCCACCTACTGGTGGTTTACCCTGTGTATACCTGTGCTCTGCTGTAGGCAGTTCTTTCTGCAAGCAAGCCTGTTTTAAGTATAAATCAGTTCTGATCAGTGCACTCTAGTAGTAAAAGCCCAAATCCTATAGAGATCTGTAAGCCTCTACGTCACCCCCTCTTTGCCCAGTCATTTCTCTTACAAGCTCTTCTGCTGCATCCATCCCCTCACACACTGTGTTCCATTCAAGCTGGACTTTTTGGTATTCCACACCTCCAGGAGGTTCTGGGTAACACCCTTACCTGCTTTGTTAACGTTTTTGGTAAGGGTTCTTTCCAGTGAAGGCCACTTTGACCAGCCTATGTAAAACTGCAAGCATTCTTGATCTTTCTTAGCCTCATACTTTCTTTTTCCGATATCGTTTATCACCTTCTGAGCTATTGTAAATTTGACTGTTATTGTGCTTCAGTGTCTCCCTTCTTTCTCTTCTGCTCGTAAGAATGAACTTCAGAGTTGGGAGTATTGTGCATTTTACCTATCCCAAGTTGAGGGGACTCTATCCTCACATTTTAATTTCCCACCCAAATGACTTTGATATCCTTGTTTATAATCTTTGTGAATTTTTGCTTGTTGTGTTTTAGTTTACAGCAGTTTTAAGTTGAACAGCTTCTTTAACCCTCTTTTTCTTTAGGCTTATACATTATATGTTCACTTTCTGAAATCTTAAGCTTTTGATGGGGATATGATTTCCCCCTAGATCCAGCCAGTTGGCCTAACCCAGTCCCTCCAAGCTCGGTAGGTGGTCAGGGCCTGTGAGGAAGTGTCTGAGGGCTCCAGTTAACACAGCTACTTGGGTGGGAAAAAGAAGAAGAGTTCGGGGATTCAGGCATTCCCTGGAATGGTGCCCTGATTGATTTTCCTAACCCGTGTCAGACTCCTTTTTGTTGAAGGGGTCATGGAGGGGTGGGGCATTATTGCTAGAGTACTAGTTTTGAAGTCCTAGTTTGATGAGCCAAAGGGTTCCTGGGAGTCTCTTGTGGACAGGGCCTGCTGGATAGGTGAGTTTACGTTTGGCTGTTTTGTTTCTATATAAGATTTCTCTTAGGAAACAAAGAATGGTTCTTCTGAAAATATGTGAATATGGCTGGAGTAGCAGTTATAATATGCCTCAAGCAATTCATAATTTAAGGTTTTTAGTTGAGTATGTACAAAAATGTGTACGTGTGTGTGTATCCATGTATGTACACAATCCACATTCACTCTTTTTCCATCATTGTGTGTCTGCAAGACCTAGAGCCAGGCTTTACTTACTCTGGTATTTTCTATATAGGCATTCTGTTATAATGCATTAACATACATAGAAAAGTTACATTTTGCAGACTTGAATTGACAGTTTAGGAGTAAAATGAGGTTGAAGCCAGGCACTCAAAATCTTTACAGTTTGGACCCCGGTGCAGTAGCCTAGCAGCTAAAGTCCTCACCTTGACCCTGCCGGGATCCCATATGGGCACTAATTCTTATCCTGGCAGCCCTACTTTCCTTCCAGCTCCCTGCTTGTGGCCTGGGAAAGCAGTAGCAGACCCTTGGGACTCTGTACCCATGTGGGAGACCCGGAAGAAGCTCCTGGCTCCTGGTTTCAGATCATCTCAGCTCCGGCTGTTGTGGCCACCTGGGGAGTGAATCATTGGATGGAAGATCTTTCTATCTGTGTCCCCTCCTCTTTGTATATCTGACTTTCCTATACAAATAGAGAAATCTTTTTTTTTTTTAATCTTTACAGTTTTTAACCGGAGCACTAGTTACCAATAAAAATACTAGTATAGCTAAAATGCATTTGAAAAGTTGTATCTAATGAATGCTATAGTATATCAGTCATTTATCTTGAAAACTAAATGAAGATAACTTATTGGAAAAGATATTAGGTAGATTTAACATTAAACATGGGGGCCATTGGAAGGGAAAAGGATGATCTCCTATGGTAACCTGTAGCATAGACAAAAAATAGATAAAGTTTTCAAGAAAGGACTGCTAAAAATGAAGATAAGGACAAAGTACCTGTGTGCGATGACTGAGCAACAAGCATTTCCAAGTGACCTTGTGCCCAAATTGAACTACGAGGAAGAAGTGGTACATGGATGCAACATTTAGTGTGCTGTGTTGTGGTTGGTGTTAAAGCTACTTTGTGATGCAGGATTTTAATGTGGTTGGAAAAATCACATATGAAATGATGTGACTTTTAATATTAATGCAACTCATTAACAGTTTCACATAAGCTAATTCATGTTAAAGAAGCATGTGCAGAATGTACTGTGTGTGCCTGTAATTTGCTGAGCAGGAATTGCACCGGAAGCTGGGTGTTCAGGATAAATTGAACATGGAACCGGGAATAGCTGCCTGGGAAACACAAAGTAAGCATATAATTATGAGAACAACTGTATACTAATAGAAGTAAGTTTAGGATGTGGAGATAGTTTCCTGAAAAGAGTGATTACATTTTAGTGGGTTTATACAGAGCTGGTATTTGGGATAGGCTGTGCGGGTTGCCTGAAGTTCTGAAAGAGGATAAGGAAATGGCATCTCCTTGGTTGCCCTTCCTTTCTTCTTCCCTCCCTTCTTCCTCCCCGCACGCTGCCACCTCTTTTTCTCTTTATTTAGTTTATTTAAAAGGCTAAATGACAAAGAAAAGGAGAATTCCTTCACTCACTTCAGTCTCAATGACCAGGACTGGATGAGGCTGGAGCCAGAAGCCGGAACTCTACATGGGTCTCCCACACAGATGGCGGCGACCAAACCATCGGGCTGTCTTCTGCTGCTTTCCTGCGAGTCAGAGGATGCTCGATTAGAATCAGAGCGGCCCGAACATAAGCCAGGGCTCGGGTGCAATGCCAGCGTCACAAGTGCTGGCTCGAACTGCTGAGCCACGGTTCTGTCTCAGTATCTGAAACTTTGATCAAAGTGGATGTGGCGTGTATAGGCTTTAAAGCTGTGCAACTTTAAATCATGTTTCCTCTGTTTATGAATATTAAACACATTTTAAAAGTCTCTTGTATAATTCTTACGTGATTGAAATGAATACTGTAATAAAAGTAATCTTGGCAACAACTGGTAGATACCTGGTAAATGTTGACTTATCTTACTAGTAATGCTGAATAAACATATTCAGCCATGTTTAAAGTTTTTTTCTAATGTTTTTATTCAGTTTCATAATATTCATCAATCAAATGAATAGATTTGGCTTTGTTCTACCATTGTAATGTTCAAATATCCAAATGATAAAGTGTTCTCATGATCTTTTCATGGAGTTTTCATTTGGGGGAAAAGAAAAATGCATTATGCAGAAGCTGACATTGCCTTCGGATAGCAGAGCTTAGGCAGTGCTCAAATACAGTTTTTTGTCGATGTGGAGAACACTCGGCCAACTTGG